GTAAAGATAATATTTTTTTTAATTTAATAATTTTTTTTTTAATAAAAAGACGCAGATTTAAATAATACATATTTTTATTATGTATATAAAGATACGATGACGCCAAAGTTCTGAATAATCATCTATATATAATTTTATTTAAATAACAGCAAATACTGGTCATTGCAGATACTTTTTATCATAACAGGCATGAAATTAAATAATTCAATTAATTTCTCTCTCTCTTTCTTTGTCGACGTAAAAATTAAGAGCAGATCGCAATAAATCGTATTTACGTTTCAGCAAGCTGGTTCTTGCGCGTTTGTCTTAATTAAACGGAGGAACAATTATTATTATTAGCACGAACTTTTTATTGTTCGGCGATCGTTCGTCGGAAATCGAACGGAGACTCGCGAATTTCGAATTTCCCGGTGCAATTACGAACACGTTAAAACTCGACGGCATTTGGCGACGGTAATTTCGCGCGAAAAATTATAGCGAGTCATCCGTGCGGCCGTTTCTTGGACGCAACGAAGGGCTCGTTTGCATTTCACGTTAATAACAGGACCATGTGGCACCGAAGGCAGCCTGCTGCCACAGCTGTATGTGTGTGTGTGTGTCTGCGCGTCAATAAAATAAAATTCCATCCGGTTAGGAACGGCGAGGTGGTGCGCCACGTGGATCTTAAAGATTACTCGCGTTTCCGCATTGGTGGCCATTTAATTTTTCCCAACGTGTAATTTTGCCCGCGTCGAACCGAAAATATCGCAGAATTCATGCAAATCGCCCGACCTTAAATCGGATTCGTACAAACGCGATGTTATACAAGTCGCATAAGAGTTGTATCTAACTTTTTCAAACTACGAATACAATTGTATTTTTCTTAGTTTGTTTTTATTGTAAAAATACAATATTTAATAATATTATTATACATTAATTATTATATATAATAATATATAATCCTTATATTCTTTAAATCTTCTTTAAATTGTTTATCCGAAAGTAGGATGGCCCTGTCTGTATAAGACTTAATATCGTACTAACTTTATATTTATGAAGGTAGCTAGAGAGATAATTAATGTATCTACCGGAGAATGTTGTTTTTCGGTGCTAGTTCATTATTAACCTGCTATATTTTGTCTAACTGACCGTAGTATCCAAAAAATGTATAGAGCCATTAGCTTCTAGTTCATAAGTGAATTTTAATCGAGTGTAAAAGTTATTAAAAAAAAATTCAAGTGTCGTCTATATGATCTTTCGGGACAATTGCAAAAATATCATCGACATACCTACAATACGTAGAAATTTTAAAGGGTAACATACCTAAACAGTAGGTCTCAAGATCCTCCATAACAATGTTCGCAAGAATCGGAGAGAGAGAATGTTGTTTATAAAATCATTTGTAAGGATTGCTCGGCTTGTTATATTGGTCAAACTAAACGCCATTTAGAAACACGTATTAAAAAACATCGGAACAATATTAAAAATCACGAGAGTAATTATTCGGTTATTAGCAATTATAGAGTTACTCGCAATCACGACTTTAATTGGGAGTCCGTATCCATTTTAAATTATAATGAATGTAATACTGAATGATTTTTATTAAAAAAACAGAACGACTCTATCAATTTACAAAAAGACACGGATAATCTTAACTCGATTTATAATACTATTATTAACGCATTTTAATATCCTTTACTTGTCTTGCTTACTGTTATTGTATTATTTTTTTTATTTTATTGTATTAATTTTATGAGAAGTATTGTAATTGTATTTATATCAGGTTTTTTGGTTCTACAACATTTATGATCACTATCAGTTAATGTTGAATCTTGTTGGAGTGCACAAGTGAAATGACAACCGAAGTTTTATTCGTTGTTTGGTCGCTTCATGGTGAACATTGCCAGCATTATGTTAAAGAACAAATACCAATCATCTCTTAGTTTTACATTTAATAATTAATATCGACGTTCAACATCAAGTTACTTTTATTTATTAATTTTAAAATTTATTTTTTTTGTTAATAATTTATCGTATAATTTTGTCATACCACATTGATTTTATGTTACTCTTTACAGGTTTGTATTATTTTTGTTGATTAGCCTGAAGAGACCCAATTTAGGATTGAAACGTCTGTACAAATAAATTAACATCACCACTAATAGCCAATCGGTTGTTTAAATATTTATCAATTGGTTTAATCTTGCTGGCACTCAATTTTTTTACTTTGATAATATTATTGAATTATTAAATAATATAAAAAATAATTAATGTGGAATATTAAATATTGGATTTGATATATTATATAAATAATTTTTATTCTTGTAAATTTTTTGTTTACTTAAATCTATTGAGCACTGAATTCAGAAATTTTTTTCTGGCAAAAATAAACCGATTTTCGCATATGCAGTTGTTTATGCATCTAAGATCTTAAAAAATCCGATTACTGTAATCATGCAAGTATCGTCGACAAAAATTCCTGGAAAGGAGACAGGTTTATTATGATTATTTCCTTCAATAGGCGCCAATTTCGTTACAACCATGCCGTTTCCGGTTTTGTCTCCGGTTACCGAATGACACATGCAGATGATAGAATTGATGCATATGACTTTGCTGGGAATTGTTGTAGCAATGTTGTAATGTTACGTGGGCATAAAAAAATATATTAGTCTTATTTAAGATACACGTGTATAATTTAATGCGCGCGAAGTTATTTTGTATGCAATGCTAAACAAGGATAAAAATTTTGAAAAAGTTACTGCTATTTTCCATTTAATTCAGAATAATAATAATACCTGCAACGTGTCTATTATATAAAATAAAATATTAGTTAAATATTAATAAAAATTTATAATATGTTTATATAAGTCTTATAGTTTTCAAAATATTAAATTCGTGTCAGGGATATTCTTTTCATTAACAAAAGATTTATCCTGCACTGTGTAAAGTATATACGGCAATTTAGCGAGATATAAAATTATGGCGAAATTTGCGTGAGAGTTATTCATACATTTGTTACTGCAGAATTGTGAAAAAAAATCGTAAATGTATTCGGTTAATTTTAATGTCGGACGTAACTGTCGCGCTCGTAAAAGTCTCGGTGATGCGATTATCGTAATAAATGAAACGAGATCTTGCAGTGTAAGCATTAGATAAAGATGAATGGGGAAAGGAAATTAAAATGCGTCTTATTGCATACAAAATGTCTATGTGGTGGCAAAGCAATCTGCGCTGCAGATACCACCTGTTAGGCTGATGTGAATCTTCATAATGTTTACGACTCTGTTCGCAACTTGTTCCGGTGATAAGAGAGATTGTTCTAGATTCACGAAGAACAGCATTTAGATAGCAATATAGAACTCGGAGTATCCGCGTATTCGTTGTATAAGTTGCGCAGAGGGTAAGCACTGGTTTCACGGGTACCCCTATGATAGGGGGTACTCGTAGAATGCGGGTGCCTGTAATGGTGCCTATACATTGTTTTTAAAATGAATTATTAGATTATTGATTTAAAAAAAATATTTTGGCGACACAAACGTCAACTTGTTCAACGTGACGTAGGTATTTTACAGATTAGAACAACACAAGCGTGCGATATTCATCGATTTTATATATTAAAAGGAATGATATTTAAAAAAATAATAATATAGTTTGTTTAAACTCAATTAATATTTTTGACAGAAATCAGCTGATTAAAGCGTTAATTTGCCAATTAAATTTTAAAATAATAATATATTATAACAATTAAAATAGTAATATGTTGTAAATAATATATTATCATACTTATTCTCGGTTAATATTTTTGACAGATCAGTTGACAACTGTCAAAAATATTAATCGCGCGTTTAAAGCCTATTGTAACATACTATTTAAAATGTATTTTAATTTTTATAACATATTATTTTAGAAATTTTAATTAGTAAATTAATCAGCTAATTTTTGTAAAAAATATTAATTAATAAATATCATCGAACTTCTTGCTATACTTTAGAAAGTTTTTGAATACAAAAGTTCTTACATTTTGAAAACTGGTTTAGGCACTCAAGTATTTAACTTAATTAATAGAAGGATTAAAGAGAGTTTTAATATCAAATATTAAGTGACAAGGGCTATCTAATTAAATGTATTCATACGCAACATTAATTCTGTCAGTGAATTCATAAATGGAGGATTGTTTGCGGCAGAAAATTGGTAGGAAAACACTTGCGGAGGTGGTTCCACATTAGGTAGGCCGCGCACACCGCGCGCGACCAAAAATGACGCTTGATCAGTTATGGACGGCGGCGTGCGCGGATCCCCCAATAATTCCGTGACGGATCTTTGTTGGTTTGTAAAACATCCGTTTGCACGTTCCATTAAAACGGTCATCGGTATGCACGGCGACGATCCGGCCTCGCCGAGCACGTAGACGAAACATGCGGTCGGCGCGACGCTCCCGCGAAATGGAATCAATCAAATATGAATCGTGCGCGTGATGACGTACATATGATATGGGTATCACGGGGTGTCCTCTCTCGCTACTCGTTTTTCCCCGCGTCGGCTCGAGCCCGACGTGCTTGATAGCAGGTGCACGTTCTCGCGGAGACCGGCAGAAGAAGCTGTTAATATTCAATTAATTTTAATATTTTCGTGCAAATAGATTCTCGCGAATTTCCTTCTTAAAAAGAAGAAATTATAGAGGAGAAAAAAAAATAAAAAAAATTTAATTGTAAGGAAATATTTTTTTCTGTCAGTTATCACTGAGTTTTCTTTTTCTGAGAACCAACAATATATGGATTTAATCAACGCAATTTACACAAAAATATTAATAATGCGTTAATTTGCTATATTTTTTGACAGTAATCAGCTGATTTCTATCAAAACATATTAATTAATATCAACATATTAATAAATATTAATTAATATTTTTTGACAGTTATCAGCTGATTTCTGTCAAAACATATTAATCGCGTTTCAAGTATTATAACATATTATTTAAAATGTATTATAATGATTTAAGGGAGCTTAATCAATGCCCGCAGGTGAGAATACGGCCGGCGAGCATGAAAGTGGAGGGTGGAGCGGCGGCGACGACGACTACGACGACGGCGACGACGGTCCTCCACAAGGTCAAGGTTAAGGAAGAGACAAAGGAATGCTGCGGCTACCAGCAGCCCTTGCCGTCGTCCACATTGGCGGCCACCACCGTCGCGACACCCACCACCGCTTCGACGGCGATTACTACGAGTGTCACCAATACCAATGGCATCGCCACCGCGAATCCACCGTCTTCGACGGCCACCACTTCGGTCGCCACCGCCGTCCCGGCTCCGCAGACTTCCGGTATTATCTGTCATCCCCGACGACCGTCCCTAATACTGTCGACTCTTTTCCGGTCGATCTCGATCTCAAGGCGAAGAATAAGGGTGAGCATTGTTTGCTGTTATCTAAATAAAATTATATAGATGATTATCTAGATGAAACTTTGGTGTCATCTTATCTTTATATAGATAATAAAAATGTGTATTATCTATATCTGCATCTTAGATGAAAAAAAGTATTTAAATTATCTAGAATAATTTTTAGATAATTTGGTTTAGAATCATAGCACATAAAAATATTTAAATAGTAGAACTTAAGCAGTAAGCGATAAAAATTATAATTAAAAATATGAATACATATATTTTTATATCCCTTTTATAATTTATATTTTTTTATAACTATGTTTACATAAGTAATCATAAAAATAATGTTATCTGAAAATTATCTAGATGAGAGAATCACTATATATAATTTTATTTTTAACTAAATATATTTAAAACAAAATCATTTTCATCTTGAATTTACATATTTTTATCTCATCTTTATTTAGCTAATTTTAAAATTATTTAAACATAACACCGAGGGTGAGTATATACAATATACGTATATTTCTTCTCTTAAAAAATATTATCACATATAGAAAAATTGTATTCTTAAAATAAGAGAGGACTGTATAATATAAAATTTCTCTGGATAGATATTTCTAAGTGTGTCTAGAACATCCTCTAAAATTAAAAAATTAATTTTTCTTCAGAGAAGAAAATTAAGAATTCTTAACAAAGAATGTTCTTTGTTAATTATAAACATGTATAAACGTGTATATTTATTTTATGTAAATTGTTCATTTGGTGTTAATATCGTTATTGTTGTAACTGCATATATATATATATATATATATATATATATATATATAGTTGCAATTTACAATGCAATTTACAGTGTTTGTTAATTACTAAATGGTTTTAGTTTATTAGAAGAATGGATGAAGTTAATAAATAAGTTAATTAAGTTTATAATTTAATCGTTCAGGATTTAATCTTATTCGATCTATATGCATACTATGTATGCTTTCTTCATGATTTTCTTTGCCTCTGTGTTATAAAGTAATACATTCTTTTGTTAATGTAAAAATATAGATCCTATTTTTTGTCTACATTTTTAAATTAGGAATATCTGATACTAATCTCTAAATGATTTCCCTCTTAAGATAAGAACCTTTTGATGTCTCCTTTATAAAACATAATATTCTAAAATTAAGTTGAAAATTCTTAAAATTCTTGAAAAGATATCGTCGATCTACAATTGACAATATTAGTGACTGTTTTAATTTTCTTTTAATGTAATGTTAATAACAATTTTTATACTCTGTGAAATGAGTTTTATTTTTTAGAAGCTTATAGTTGAATGTCTAGCGATTTTTCCTAGAAGCGAATATTTTTGCTTTCTTCGGGGAATTCGATCGAACAAGTTGTGACCTGTCTGCCAAAAGTGTAAATATCAATTTGTATTGATCTATTGATTTCTCTGCGCTGTCTAGTAGTCTCACAGTCTGTAATTTCGTGCTTTGCAAAATGTACGTGGAAATATCGGCAAATTCTCCACGTGGCATCGCAAAATTAAGTAGAGACCATGTTATGTCACGAGGATGTATGTATATAGATGCACTAGAAAAGTCATTATTGTTGTGAAGATAGTGACAGCTTATTGCATTAAAAAGCGCAAAAATAAGATTTAATGACCGCTATTAACGTGAACGACTGTAATATATCGTTATTGCTTCATGTTTAATTATAATTTAATCCAATCGGTGTGATTCCAAGTATCTCGTTGCAACGAATATGTGACGTTCAGAGTTGTTAATACCTCTTTCACTTCCATTCCGGTCGGGCAATATGTTGTAATAACCCGTCGGGATGGAGTGACACATGTCGTTTAAAAATTAACAACGTCATCACACTCTAGTCTATCTGATCTATCGCGTGCCCGTAAAAAAAGAAAAAAACAAATCACTCGGTAGAGTCCAGCTGAATAGTACGGAACGCTATTCCGTTAATTCGAGATATACATATATATATATATATATATATGTGTGTGTGTGTGTGTGTGTGTGTGTGTATATCGACGATTCTCGTTCGAGAGCATACGTCGATGACGTATAGCGCATACAGGTACGGTGCAAGTGCAGTTTATCTAATTTCAGATTCGCGTCACGGTACATTATACATATACATATACTTTTTCTGTTAACTTAATGCGGATTTCATCAGTTTAGCGCGCAGCTGTCAGCTGTCAAGCTGTCGCTTACAATCTGTCACTTGCCGCAGTCAAGATTGCGCCATGTGACAAGCAATCTTTTATATTTTACTAACGAAAATTAAGTTTTTAATTAAAATTTATACACAAGTAACAACAAAAAAACAATAAATGTTAATGAAGTTTTAATTAAAATGTATAACGCTGCGCGCGTATATGAACATTTCGCAGGCCGGATTGACGTAAATCATGTGTAAGTTTAACACGAAGGCACGCACATGTCAACTTTATAATAATTTTTCTTCAACATTTTTGCCGATTTAATTAAAACTGCATAAGATACACACGCTTTGTGGAAAAAAAATTCTTTCATTAATTATTTAAAAAATACTTTTAACACGTCCATGATCTCTGTTTGAAGAAAAAAGGAAAAAAGGAAGGAAACCGCGCGGGCACCGGAAGTTGACCCCGATCCTCGAAACTGGAAATTAAAAGGAACGACCTCGCCTCGATGTCCGCGCGAGAGAGCCCACGCTGTGGGCGCATCGTACATTAGTTCGGAATATTGCATGACGGTACCCGTATATCGAGTCCACGCGCGCTCGCTCGCTCTTTCGCTCTCAAATCGTACATTCAGCTCGAGCCGCTTATCTAGACGGGCGGCGAGCCCGCAGCTAACTTGAGAACCGAGGCTCAGGAAAAAAGCCCCTTCTGGCACATCAAAGCCCCGTCATCACGTCCGAGCGCAAATTCTCCCTTCCTCCCCTCTTTTTCTCTGTTTATTCTAAAATCGATCAGTTTTTGTTGATGCAACGCTCCTTAAAAACATTAGGGAGACGTCAACAACCCTAACAGCACAACATATCCGAAAAACGTCCGAAGGATATCCTGAGGATACCTAGAGGACATCCAAATATCCTCTGCATGTTCTCTGAACATCTTTCAAATGTGTGTGCTATTAGGGAAGGTGATACATAATTAAAAACTCTTTATTTGATACAACAGATAGATTTATTAATCAATGTTGATATCCTTCAATGTTGTATTCTACTATATATAGCTGCGTAAATGTAGCTAGACATATGCGTGCATAAGAGTGCAATCGCAAGGAGAGAGAGAGAGCGGGAGAGAGAAGAGAGGGAGGAAGATACTTCGTGGGGGATGATGGCGAAACTCCTGCGAGCAGTCAGTCAACTTGGTTGGCTGGCCCGGTGTGTGTCGGTTAGGTTCGTGCGCCGCCTGACTGCCTGGTCCAGACGCGATAAGGCACGTCCAACACTTCCACTGGGATTCTGTTCGGGGCTGATATCATATCCGCCGCGTCGCGCCGCGCCGGGGCATCCCGAGGTGTATTTCGCGATAGTCGCCCGCACACCGCGTGTACCGACCCGACCTATCTACGTATACCCTATACGGGATACGGCTTACGATCTGGTGCCCGTTCCCGGGGCGTATGCGCGATCACCCTTCTCTTCCGACGCGAGTTTCATAAAACTGGGAAGACCCGTGATACCCTAGACGCGGAATATATTAGCGACATTTACCTCCCCCGGGTTAGAGGTTAGGGTTAGGTTACGTTCGAAATCCCGTGATGTTGCTTCGAGTAAATATATTAAAGGAATGGCCGAAATTAATCTCCCCTTCGGGACTATGATATTCCGCTAATTATGTTTGACATGTCCTTTTGGGGTGGTAACTGGAGGTACTTTTACGCAGAGCTCCTTCCACGCACGTTAGTTTAAATTAATTAGGACGCTTAACAAAGCTTTTCACTCTGTGAACGCGGGCCTCATATAAATGATAAGGTTAATAAACCGAATTAAAATTAATTGGATGTTTACTTGAGCCTTCTGTCAATGCATAATTTTGCAGTTTTCCATAATGTATAGATACCCAATTCATTACACCACGACAGATTCTTATAATAGCTTTTTATACTTTAGGAGGTTTCTGACTACAAAAGGTTCTGGTAGAAAATTCTAGTTTTAAGTTACTTTGGGTTCTCGAATACCCATTCATTGACAGAAGGGTTCTTTTAATCTAGGTGTCATCAGGGATAGATATTAGTACCACTCATTATTACTAAACTAACTTATTCTATTGATTCCTTAAGCTTCCTGTCAATGCATAATTTTGCATCTTTCCATCAATGTATAGATGACTTAATATAGATACCGATTTATTGCACCGCGATAGATTCTTATAGTAGCTAGGCATCAAACATTTTTTTTATATTTTAGAAGGTTTCTAAATAAAAAGTTTCTATTAGAAAAGTTTCGGTACATTTTTAGCATTTAAAGTTACTTTGGGTACTCTGATATCCGTTCATTGATTGAAGGGTTCCTAGATGTCATCAGGGTATTAGTATCATGTACTACATCATACTAACTTATTCTACTGATGTTCGTTATAATTTTGTTTTATCAGTCCAGTCATATGGTTGATTAATATTTATGGGAAAATAGATGAGGAAAAGAATTGAAGTCATTAGAATTTATAGTTCAAAAGAAGAGTTCGTACATACATCTTCCCATAGTCATCTTCTACAGTTCTACACCTTCCCAATTAAGAAAGAAGACACGTGTTAATTATTATGTGTTAATTTGGAAGCGTGCAACCGATCAGATTAGAATAATGAGTAGAACTAAAATCCCGCTAAGTCCTTAAGTGGCACACTTGTCCGCGAGAGATGAAATCGAACACGCGGAGTCGCGTGATGTCGGATCGAATCAACGGGGAGGAAACTCGCACGAGGAAGGATGCGAGAAAAACGGCATCAGCGAGGGAAGAAAGAGGAGATCGCGGTACAGAGTGCGAAAAAGAGGTAGAGCGGGCTGGAAAGAGAGAGAGA